CTGAGGCAGGAGACTCGCTTGAGCCCAGGAGTTGGAGGTTGCTATGAGCTGTGATGCCATGGCACTCTATCCAGGGGGATAGCTTGAGGCTCCATCTCAAAAAAAAAAAAAGAAAAACAAAATTGAACCTTGAGAAAGACTGACTTTGTAATATAAATTTTAACTTGTATTAGAATTGTTGATATCAGAAGAAATACTTAAAATATACTTGATTCTGTACCTTTAGTGTAAACTTTATTTTAACTGGTGGCAGGGAGTTTCTATAATTGAAAGAAGCAATATAACATACATTAATGCTGTGCATTCTTTTTATTTAGATAATGTTACTATGTCACCCCTCATCACAGCTCACAGCAGCCTCAAACTCTTGATCTCCAGGGATTGATTCTCTTGCATAACCACCCAAGTAGCTGGGACTACCGGTGCCCACTGTAACACCAGCTATTTTTTTGTTTTAGTTGTCATTCTTGTTCAGCAGGGTGGGGAGGGGAGACTTTAACCTGCCATCCCCCAGTGTATGTGGCTCGTGCCCTAACTGCTGAGCTATGGGTGCCCAGCATTGTTGTGCATTCTTTACTTTTTTTTTTTTCTTTTGGCAACAGTCTGATTTTGTTGCCCTCAGTAGAGTGCTGTGGTAGAGAGCAACTTTCAGCTCTTGGGCATAGGGGATTCTCTTGCTTCAGCCTCCCGAATAGCTGGGGCTATAGATGCCTGCCACTATGCCCAGCTATTTTTTTGTTGCAGTCTGGCTGGGGCCAGGTTCAAACCCACCACCCTTGGTATATGAGGCCAGCGTTCTACTCACTGAGCCACAGGCGCCACCTCCTCGTTATGCATTCTTAATGGAGGGGAGAGGGATTTGCCCCTAAGGAAGTGAAAATTTGTTTGTGGGTGGGGTGGGTATAAATCTTAGTTGTAATTGTATAAAGCAATAGAAATACTTCATAGAGTACGTAAATCTAAAAGGATATCTGGTATTAAAATTTCCTGAGAGGAGTAGGGGAAAAAATACCTTGAAATGTTACTTAGAGAAACAATAATGAAAGAAAGGTTGAGAAACATTGGCTTAA